AAAAACCCTAATGTTTTGAGATAACCTATTACTAGCCGTTTCCGAAGGCAGAGTGAATGTCGTTCGGTTTTTTCGTTTTTATATTCTACCTGTGCGGAAATCATGCATAGCAGTGTCCTCTGGTCGAATTTTTTAATATTCTGGAATCATCATTCCCACGATTGCACAACTTTAACTACCGATTTTGGCCTGCCTACGGTGTGTAGGTTTCGACTCGTGGACACATCAATAGACGGACAAACTTAATGGAAGCCCGAATCGCGGTGCAATGTGCGTTCGGACACGAATCAGGTGTCAATTCTTCCGGAAGATTGTATAAATGATGCGATGCTTTAGAATCCTGCGGAAGTTTTCCTAATAACCCAGGTTATACTTGGGAAGAGAGCACCAGAAGGTGGTTGCATCAACCTCTCCAGGGATGTATTTTAGACATGGTAAAGTATTTGAAAATATTGCAAGTGTAATACTTAAATGTATATACGTGGTATGTGCAAATATCATTAAATATTACTTTGTGTCGTGTCCAAAGATCCTTGCAAGTTGGGAGAACAGAGATACCGACTGCAACGAAATCTCCCCAGAAATGGCAAAATCTGCGGCATGTAAAAAAAAGTCGGGTATGAATTTTTCACCAAATTAAAATGTCGTGAATGAAACGTCCACATATTTACCTGAGTCCTTGAAGAGGTGATGCACCCTTGAAGGGTCACCATCTCGAGTAGTACTGCTTAAATGTGCTCGTTCGTTTAGCCCCCAAAGAACCGAATGATGATTAAATGTCTCATTTCGACCCCATTTACTGTTCGGAAGATAAAAGTGACGTGCAGCAAAATGACGATGGTGTCGCGGCAAAAGTGGACGGAGGCAGAAAACCTCCAACTGGAAGAAGAGAAGGAGCATCCGATGGAGGTTCGGTGCCCGAAATCGGGAGAACGGAAGGAGGTTCACGACGATGACGATTCGCATGACGGCACCGTCGACGAAATGGTATCGACAACTTATGAGGGTTTTCGAAGGTGGAAACCGTCCCGATGATCGTTCAAAGTGTCTCATTTGCATATGACGTCTCGAAGGGAAGCGAGAGAGAAAACACCTGCATCGAGACGACCGACGAAAGAAGGGAGCCGCAGGAGGAAGAGTCCCGGACGAACGAAAACGGTTTTTGTTCGGTTCCTTCGGTCGGCAGTCGCACGAGAGAGCAGGTCGGTCCCCGAGCGTTCCTCGACGTTTCCCACAGCCGATGGATTCACATCGATTTAGTACATTCTTGACCGCGCAGAAGGGTCTGAGGCTCACGGGAGAGGAGGAGAAAGATGAGGGTGACGGCGACGAGGATCGTCGAGATCATCTCGCGGAAGAAAATGAAAACCCGATGAGGAAACATCCAGAAACGGAGACGGAGCCAAAGGATCCTGCAATATCAGTTCTCGGGGAGAGACGAGGAAAGCCGGAGAAGGAGGTGGCGACACTCGGGCGGGCCGATTTACAATTCAAACAAAGTAATTCGTTTCTTTCACCCGAAATACCTCTTTTCTCACGTTTTGCTAATATATTTTCCCAATCGATACCGACGGTACGGAAACCTACCATGCATCATTTTCGTTTCAGAGCTTCCAAATTTATCCAGGAAGCTGGAATCGCTTCCGTGTCCAAATGCATCATCCTCGAGCCCATCGATCGAGGAAGAGCGCAGGTGGAAAAGACCCGAACCATCATCCACCCACTCCTTCGACTCCGACGCGACGCCCGAATCGCAGGAATCCTCGTCTCGTCCTCCTCTCGCATCGCCCCGGCCCGTCGAGGGCACTCGGACCGATTTCCAGAGTGCAACGTCGGGACGCGGTCCAGACGTCATCTGCATATCGTCTTCCGAAGAAGAAGACCTCGAGAACCGCGTCCCGGTCCGGTCGACGACCTTCGAGACTGCGTCTTCCGAGAACGAGGTCGACGAGATCGTCCAATTTTCGAGAATCGAATCGAATAATCTTCCACATAAAATCATTCGATCGACTGCGTCATCTCCTGGACTCGTATCATCTTTCTCATTCCTTCGATTCCTATAATCTCACTGCAGAATGATCGCAAATAACTTTTACAAGAAAACCGACCTCATCCTGCTTTCTAATTCCCTGATCTTGTTGAAATTGGATAGTGAGCGAAATAGTGCAAAGAAGGAAATTTTAAACATTTATCATGCATAATCATTACGTGTTGTCTTCTAAACTGATCGTATCTTCATAGCGAGTTCAAGTTCCTCATCCTTTAAGAGCAAATCTTTTTAATGAGAATTTCTTTCGAAACACTTTTCCGTTGCAGAAAAATTAATAAGTCTAGACAGATGATAGTCGTTGAGGAATCAGTGCTTGAGGTAATCATATGTTTTTGCGAAGCATCGATCCAAAGGACTATAGTCCTTTAAACCTGATGAATTCCCAAACATTTTTCACTTCCACAAGCTGGAGAGGCCTCGAAAACGAACAATTGGTATGCAGGAACCTTTTGAGAAGCACATTTTCGGAAGAACCATCCGCTTCAGAAATTCACCATTGGCATCCTTTTTTCTGGAGATCATTTTAGGAATTTCTTGTTTTTAGAAGGTAAAACTTTGCTACGAAGGATTTGCATGAAAGATTCCAAAGAAAAATCCAGTTTTATTTTTAGTTCCTTTCGATGCCGGCACGCATGTTTTTGCGTACGAGGGATGATCGGAAGGTAACGAGACGAGGCCCGTCGTTCTGAAAGCAAATCGTTTTCGAACCCATCGCGCACGTATCGTGGTAGTACGTACCCTGCAATACTTCTCCGCGTAGTCGCCACCCCGGTCGAGACGTTCGTCCCATCGAAACCGGCTTCGAGATGCCATCCTCGTGGAACTCCGTGTCCTGTTTGTGCGACCGCTCTCGAACCGCAGAGTCTGAAATGTGAAATTTCGCCCGCGGCGGTGTTTCTTCGAAGACCCGAACGGATGGAAGTCGCCGGGTGCCAGATCGGGAGCGCGTGGAGGACGATGGAGGTCTTCCCACCCGGACCTCTTCGACGGCTCCCCCGTCTGGCCGGTGGCATGGGATCGTACGTCATCCTGCAGAAGGAAAACACCATCATCGGTGAGGACGCTTCCTTCGGATGGTTTCGCGCAGTCTCTCCGGCGTTGCACGGTATGCAGCAGCGTCGACGGTCGACCCGAGCTGCAGGAAGGCTACTCGGAGGGCACCCTCTCTCGAATCCGGAAGACGGTTCCCATCGCCTTCCCGCCGATGCCGTTGCTTTGAAATCGTTCCGCACGGGCGACGATCCGT